TTACAAGTTTTTCTTGACTTTCTAGGGTCGCTGAATTGGAAAAGAAGATCACACAAATGGAAGAAGAAAAGACGCAGCTTATTGAAGGAATTCAAGCCGAGCAGCTGAACGTTATTACGGAAAAAGATAAGCACATAGCTCAGATCGCTGAAGAACTAGAAACAGCTCGCAATGACCTCCATGATGCCAAGAACCGGTGAGCAGATATTAGCAATGCCTACATCTCCCAGTCCTCATGCGAAATTATTTTCAGAATCCAAGAACTTGGGGAGAAGGAAGAAGAGATCAAGTGAGTTCCACACCCAAAACATATTCATTTTGCAGAATTTTTGACGTGACTGCGGTCGTGGGGAGTTGGCACTTTTAGCCAGAATCATTGCAGGAGCTGAGGCCTCGTTTCTTGGGATCTCCCTGTTAGGCTATACTCTGACGCGGAGCATTGGGTGCGTCACGGTCATATAGGTACTCTATCGTCACTTGCCCGAGCATAGCGCAAACTTCCTTTGGCTTGATAAGCATGACAACCGTCAGATTAAAAGTGACTACTCCTCTCTTTGGTGATTATTAACAACTGCCACATTTCTAGGTAAAAAAACCCTTCACAAGCCTAGGAAAGGTTATGGGGCTTTTGTGGATACCTAAAATGTCAGGCAACTTCCCAGTCCTTTGCGTTCGATTTTGACGCGCGCGGCGAGCGACAAATTTGCGCACCGTTGGATCTTTCGCATTCACCAGTGATACTGCTATCAAAGTCAGCGAGCTGCTACCAGCTGCTCCAAATTATGGGGTATCCTCTACTGCCCACCACTGTCCTGCCCCTCTGCTCCACCGCCGATGCTAGTTTCTGTTCACGCTTAGTATGCCCATACTCCTTGCTTGTGCGCTCCTAGTACGTGAGCGATTCCACTTTAACCTCCGGATGCCGCATTGATGGTGGAGCAGGGGAAGCCTAATGACGCAGCAATAGTGTAACCTGACTGGGCCAGGTAAATAATCATGGATGCGGGTCAGCAGGCCCGAGTTACGGGTACAGGCCAAAGCGGCGTAGTAAGTGGCGACGCCTCATTGATACATGCGACACGAGTCGCAGGGGTACTGTACCAGTGCGCTGCCGCGCGCTCGTCGCTGCCGCTTTGATCTCTTGGATGCGCGTAACCACCACGCCCCATCTATTGCCTAGCATGAGCCTGAGATCCCTAGTAAGAGTACCACATTCCAAAAGAAACTGACTCGGCATAATTGTTGAGAGACTGCTGGAAAAGCAAGCTTTAGTAACGTTGCATTCATCCCTCTTATGTTAGGTAACTATAACCTCTATACTCCTAAGATAGTACTCCGTAAAGTAGTATTCTAGCAATCTGCACAATGTGATAGCTGAACTTCGAGCTGAACTTGCCAACGCGAAGAAAGAGAAGGAAGAAAGCGAATGGCATCTTGGAGAGCACAAAGAATGGCTGAGCAATTCAAAAGAGAAGTAAGATTTCAAAGCAGTACAACTAGTCCTGCACAAATGAGAGTAAAGTGTGAGAACTACAGGGTCGCATATCTGGAAAATCAGCTTAGCCTCATGACTAGCGATCCTGATCGTCTAGCGGTACCTCCAAGTGAGTCCCATTACTACGTAAAACTCGTAAATGTAAGCACAGTAGAAACTGGAACATGGAAAATTTAGGCTCACCCAAACCACGATCTGGAACCGAGAGCGCTGATGAGTCAGCTAAAGCACAGGTATAATCATTTTTGCATCATATCGAAAAATCAAGACTGAGCTGGAGCTGTTTTTTTTTGTTTTGTGTACATCCCATATCTTTGAGATGCGGTAGGCGTGGTTGCGTTCTTCATTTTTGCAAGGTGTAGGGTGTATGGGTGTTCTACGTGAGACAACTGTAATCTTAGTTGGAGTTGGGCAAAGACGTGTCAAAAATTGTCCAAAAAGCGCAGCTACCGCCTTGTTCAAGTGGCAATCACTCCTACCTCATCTCAGGGAATTTGGAGTAGAAATGGTGGCTGTGGGATGCTAGATCCACTGAACATGAGGATGATAACATGTTCGGAGAGGATCATCATCATCGAACACATTCTGCGTTTCACAGATGGCTTGACTAACGCCAACAAGTAATACGCCTCCCTCTTTCGATTATCATTGACTTCAAGAAGAAGATGTGCACCAAGCACTGACGGAGCGCTCTCGACGCAACACGCAACGCAGCTGCAGCAAAAACAGTTGCACTCCGCCCGTGCTATCCTCAAGTTGCAGCACTTGCGTCAATATCCCGCAGCAAAAACGCAGTCACAGGTAGAGGAACAAGAACCGATCAGGCGAGCTACCCTCCAGCACGTTCCCGTACGCTTTCGAGTAGGGAAAGTGGCACGCTACCACAGCTGCGGACCCATTCGCCTCGCTCATAGCATAGCAAGGACCAGGACCCACGGGTGTGATTGTATAGTTTAATTTCCAATCTCTCCTCTCATAAGAGAGACTGAGAGGACTTGTATGAAAACCTCTCTGGGTCATATGGGGG